ACTGTTAAGTAGTGATGTAATACATGGGAAAATGTAGAACATACGTTTACAGAGATGACTGACAGCAAATTGTAGGGAATATTAGTGAGGATTTTACGTAGATTACTAAGAATATTATTTAGGTCAACATAAAAGCATTATTCTAATAGACACAAGTACTGTTAAAAAGCCAAAGAAAACATTTTATTAATTATTTACATTTACTAATTTTATTTTCTATACCAAAGTAGTTTTAGATAAGATGATGTGAAAATATATGCCTCTTTTAATTAAAATAGATGTTTTCTCCACTCTAACTGATGAGTCCTGCAAAAGGACGAAATACACATCCAATAGAATTCCACTCTTAGTCACAATCGATCACGTGGAAGAAAATATAATCATTCTAAGGCATTTTTGAAACATCTACACTATAGAAGCTTGATTATAAGGCCTCTCTCTCTCTCTCTGAGTTAGTCATCCATCCAACGATCCAGTGAGTTGGAAATGAGGGACTCATGATATTTAGCTCATATTAGTTTTTGTGACATAACACTATAGCTAGCCAGTGTGCTACAGATGAACGAATACTTTACCTGTACATGTTGGACACCACTGGCCATAACTAACTTTCAGCTGGTCCCAGAAATAAGCTCATTCTACCATCTTGTAATGACCTGAATCATTATTAATTAACCACGTAAATGTTTCTTATAACATCTAGCCATTAGGCGACAAGAAAGATGAATTTGTTTCAGTGTCACATCTGATTATTGTGTGTTGTTTTTGGCAAGAATTCTATTGGTTACGAGTTTGACCATAACAACCATCCTAACGATTCGCTCTGTACAGGACATTGTCTGCAGTACCAGTGAGAAGTCGTAGTGAGTCAGTGGCGTCCACTAAGTTAGTTAGTGAGAGGACAATTACTCGCCGATAACATACTACCAGACGATTACACTATAAAACATATCATGAATTAGCAGAAGTAAGAATTTTTAGACCATTGAAAGCATGACCAGTGGCTCAGTAGTCTACGAGCCCACCTTATAACCAGAAGGTCTTGAGTGCCAACAAAGATGAGACTAGGACGAAACGGCTAGCTGCTGAATACTCTTTGTTTTCTAATGATTCTTCAACCGATGACCAGCTAGCTCATTATCAAACCTATGAGTCGGTGGAACAGCGGTTAGGACACTCACCGATCATGCACAGCCAGTCCTGGCTGCCAACACGCTTCTTTACCTCGCTAGGCCAGAAATTAAGATGGTAAAGAGGGAAGGTTTGGAGACATGAGGCTAGCAACCCCATGTACAAACATGTATGTCTGAAGAAGGTTCTCGAAGACGAAAATGGAGAGGATATAGGATAAATGATTCTGACCCACTGATTTCAACTTACACAACTGAATTCTAGTCGCTTTCAAATGTTTTAACCTGTGTAACATTACGTAATCGTGTTTTTCGTGTATGCTGCCGACCCATTAGGGTTTTCTGTACTTCGTCAACTAAAAAATTCTCGAATATTCTTCTAAACTCGTGACAAATAATCAGTTCCTCGCTGTATTCTTTTTTATTTTTGATTTACAGCTTGATTCCACACTGTATTTTTGGTACAAGTATGGAATTTTCAGCATGGATATCGGTAGCCCAAATTTTGCAGGCCGACCATAGATATCAGGTGTGCGTCGGTGTGGGCTCGAACCTCGGACCATGTGCATGGTCGGCGAGAGTCCTAACCACTGTGCCATCGACGCACATTTCTAACTGATCATACAATCATACATTCCACCCACTATTTGCTGTTTGTCAAAAGGACGATCTTCATGTCAAACTTGGCTAGTAGAATAAAAAGAGTGTAAGTTCTTATTTGTGAGGTGCGTCGGTGTCACAGCGGTAGAATGCTCGTCGACCACGCCTCAAGTGCTATGGGGTTCGATTCCCGGCCGCCGACACACTCCTTTACCTCGCTAGGCCAATAATTAGACTAGTTAAGAGGGAAGGTTGGGGGTGGGGGGATGGGCATGGGACTAGCAACCCTATCTCGTAAAGACAAATAAATACCACTGCTACCGAAATTTCAAGCTTCTAGCTTGAAGCCGCCCTATGTTCCACTGGTAACGTGAAGGAATGAAAAATAAAATTCTTATTTTGTTAATACTATTGCCGGCCTGCTTAAAATTTCGGCTACCGTAAAATTCTGTCAATACATATTGTTCAGACTGTTTAAATCTAGTCAAATATAACCTCTAAAATATTACAAGTTTCTACTAAACTTCCTCAAAGGATGGCAGTTTATCCCAATATATGTGATGAACATTTCTGAGTGGCAGTGTCCCTCGTCCACCAAAATGTACTCCTGAACTTTCTATAATTGGCATTCAACAAATTGTCGTCTGTGTATATCTCGACAGAGAAAAAAAGAAGGGATGTCATCATTAGAGATTCGCTCGCCCTTCATGTGAGACAGAACTATTTCACAGTCAATCTTTTATTCGTAGATCCTGGATAAAGAGAAAATATCAAGCAATAAACTTCGCGAAAAAATTCTATACACCATCTAAACACTGGGAGTAACGCGTGTGTCGTCAGCGCGAGATTGACATGGAAAATATAGTGTGAGGAAGAGATGAGAGAGAGTTTGGGAAGTCGTGAATTCAGCTGAAGACAATGGCATAAAATAGAACAAGGTGCAAATGTGTTGTTGAAAGCTTTCACTCCACTCGGAACCCAGTCTGTCTGTCTGTCTATCTGTCTGTTTTCTACATAGAACTCTGCACAGATGTGCGGCAGTTCAAGTCGCCACACTCACTCCATGTACCACACAAAGCAAGAGAGGAAAGTAGAAGAATTGCATGTTAGAGACAGTAAACAGAGTTGTGAGACAAAGAAATAGTAGTAACGAAGGACAATGTAGTTTCATTGGAAATCATAAGTCACAAGGAGTGGATGCATCTGCCCAAGCCATTGAGAACAACGATTTTGAGTCAGCCATATCACCAATTGTTTCCAACCATTGGTCTTCACCGTCCCGAGGACCCCAACCAGTCAGGAAGTCTACACCTTCCTACATGGCTGGCTGGCTTAGACTAACTGTTGTAGATTTGATTGACTGGTGCCATGTTATGGTTTGACCGCCGCTAGCTCTTTTCCAGCCTCACCCTATACCAGCTAACATTCCCCGTCGAGGAAGGAGATAACTAGGCATACGTAACACATGTCCTAACCATCTCAGTCGATGTAACTTCACAACCTCGTCGGTTGATTTCCCCTGCTTACCTAGAACTCGACCGACGCCTAACCTCCATATTGCTCACCTTATTATACCACTTCACACGGGAGATAGAACGCAGGCACCTGGAATCAAAGACAGTTAATCTTTTCATGTCTTCCGCTCTCCATGGCCATGTCTAGCTCACAGCCATGAGGGAGGACGGAGCAGACTGATGAGCAGTACAGACGCCCTTTGCGTCGGTGGCACAGTGGTTAGGACTCTCGCCGACCATGCACATGGTGCGAGGTTCGATTCCCTGCTGACGTACACCTGATATCTATGGCCGGCCTGCAAAATTTGGGCTACCGGTATCCATGCTGAAAATTCCATACTTGTACCAAAAATACAGTGTGGAATCAAGCTGTAATCAAAAATAAAATAAAAAATAATATAAGATAGTCGAATATCTCGTCTACTAAGCCAGAGACGTGTAAACTGGCAGACATATGCGAAACTAGCCCTCTGTATCCGTGCTGAGATTTCGTCAGAGATCAACCCGTTGGCACTGGCTAATGGTACTTCCCAAGTAAGTGAAGCGGTCAACGTGCTCTACCACTTCACTCACTCCTGCCTATTTCTATTCTAGGAGTTGGTGTAGTCCAGTCCTGTAACATCATCTTGCATTTGGCAAGGGGAGCGAATCACATGCCAAACATTCGAAGATTGCCTCTCAAAGTGTTTAAAAAACTCTGCTCTATTTTGTCACCGTCCTTGTCTAGAACGACTATATCGTCTGCATATTCTAAGTCAACTTGGAACCCAGGGGACAATAATGATAATTTAAATATTCTTTAATACAATACTGTTATTATTGTTGTTGCGGTTAAAATGTTGTGTTTATTTTAGGCTGTCTGTAGATGAAAAGAAGCCTTAGAATCTTTAATTAAGAAATAGGCAAATATCAGGGAATATTTTTTAATCTAATCTAGGTAGGTAGATAATTTTGATTTATTTATAGTTTCTGAGCTGAGCTAGTTAATTTAACGGTGAAGCTTTCATTGTAACTTAACAAGCATTCACGACAAAGAAGGTTGTCAGGAGATACAATTTTTATAATCATTGGTTATAGGATTTCATCACCATGAGGTATTGGAAAACCTGCAAGGAGTGCTGGGTAACCGTCTCCTCCCCCACAAAAACCAATCAATGAGATGCTTACTAGCGACTGGTCCTTTTCAGGTTGGGTAATAACCTGAAGTTCTACAGGGGGAGTCATAACAAGTGAGTGGGGTACACAGCGAGTTGGGTGTGAAGATAAATACTTGCCATCGAAGACATTGGCTACAAGGTCGTGCTATATCGTAAAATATCACAGGTTGAGTTGTTTCCCAGTAGCTTGATGGTCGACGAGATCGCCTTGTAACTAAGTGGTCTTGGCTTCGAACCCCAATAGGGTGGGTGCGTACTACCGAAGAGTCTCACTCAAAGTAGGCTGACGAAACAGTTGGCTGCTCAGTACTCCCTGTAGGTTTTTCAAAAGTTATCTAAAGCTGATGTCGGCTCACCACGACAAAATCCAGTAACCAATCAATCAATCAATCAAATCTCTACAAATCAATACCTGATTATATCACCAACCATGAAGAGAATTCAAATAACTTTATTTCATACTAAAACTTGCACTGAAGGAAGATGTTTTCCAGACGGTAGGCAACGTACACTTCATAATTAAATCAATTAACTGTGTTTAAAGAACAAAACTCAATCCAAATTAAGCAAATATACAAACAAGCACAATCCTGACTCACTTTAATATGATCCGTTGAATGTTTTATAGCCATACCTGAACCTAAATTGAGAAAAAATTGAAAATAAAAGAATTATTTCATTTCTAGATTTTAGATTTTGTTGCGATTCTTATATGTATTTTTATTTTTTTATTTTTTATTTTACAGCTTGATTCCACACCGTATTTGTGGTACAAGTATGGAATTTTCAGCATGGATATCGGTAGCCCAAATTTTGCAGGCCGACCATAGATATCAGGTGTGTGTCGGCGTGGGTTCGAACCCCGGACCATGTGCATGGTCGGTGAGAGTCCTAACCACTGTGCCACCGACGCACACACACACACACAAAATACCGAAATATCGGTGAGAGAATCAGCTAATGAAAAGAACAAAACGAGTAGTATTCAGCAGAGAGACTCTTTTTACGTCAAATTCATTTTATTTAGCTGTACAATCTAATTTTTACACTATTATTTATTATTGTCGTGCTTGGGTTCCACCTGGAACACACGACTTCAACAATACATGTCTACTTTCATATTAGTTTGTTTATTAGATATATCACACAGTGAAACAGTATTATTTTCTGGATGACACAGTTTCGAACAAAATTTATTGTTTATTTATTTATTTATTGTTACTAGGTGAGTCTAAATGGTTTAATTTAATGCCAAAAACTAATAACGCCAGTAGGATGTATGGTGTTATTAAAGTTCATAAGTCAGGATACCCTATTAGGCCTATAGTTGATTATAGAAATTCACCTACTTACGAATTATCTAAATATTTAGCCATGATATTAAATCCCCTTAAAAATCCACTCGAAATCTAGACTAACTAATTCTTATGAACTAAAACACAGATTAGAAAATTTAAAATTAGATAATGAAGAAAAAATGGTTAGTTTTCACATTGTCAGTTTATATACACGTATACCAATAAATATGGCTATAGAGGCAGTCAGAAACGAACTCATTTCTGATCAAGAACTCGACCTTAGGAGAAGAGGGCCACTTGGGGACATAATGCTGGGAGTGCAGCTATGCCTGAGTTCCACAGTATTTAAATTCCAAGGGAAAATATACAAACAAACTGAGGGACTTGCCACGGGATCACCAATATCCCCGGTTGTAGCAGATATATTCATGGATATGTGATATAACATAGCGATTGAAACGTTCACCCCCACCCCAAAAGTATGGTGGAGGTATGTAGATGACACATTCACTGTACTTAGAACACAAGACATAGATAGATTTTTCGAACACATCAACTCGAAGGTAGAGGCAATTCAATTCACTTATGAATTGGAAAATCAGGAAGGGGAGCTTCCAATGTTAGAATGCAACGTAAAAAGGAAAGTAGATGGGAAGTTAAACACACTAGTGTGTTTACAGGAAACCCGCACACATTCAAACAGATATTTGGACTTCAGATCATCCCATCCTATGTCAGTAAAAATAGGATTGATGAAATGTTTGGGTGACAGAGTACAAAAACTAAGTAGTACCAATGAAAAATCTAAGACAGGAAGTTATAAACTTAAAAGCGGCCTTGAAACTTAATAATTACCCCGATAAATTAGTCAACAAAATATGTAAGTAAATGTAAAAATAAAATAAATAATGATAGTAGCGATAGTGATAATAATAATAATATTAATGACGACACCAACAATAAGGAATCTAAATCATCAACAGTAATTCCATACAAGGAAGGAACCTCGGAAGTCTTACGCAGAATACTTAACAAGGAAGGAATAAAAGTGGCATTCAAACCCACAAACTCAATTAGAAACAAGCTTTGTCGGTTGAAGGATCAATCCTGTGGAGCCTTTAAAACAAAACAATTTAGTTTATCTAATACCCTGCAATGATTGTGAGGTCAAATACATAGGTCAAACTAGTAGAACAGCGTCAATGAGTCAGACTAGCCGAACATAAAAACCTAGCGAAATCTAGATTGGTTGACCCAAATAAGATAAGAAATCTAGAAAATATTTCAGCTGTAGCACTACATGCAGTTACACACAACCATACAATAGGATGGATGGGATAGGATGACAGTTTAAAAATCTAATGTCACAGGGTATAGGGAGAGATTGATGACATAAGCTTTGTTTATAGAATCAACTGCAAATACGTGTAATAGGAATAATTCATCACCTGTCCACCCAGATATCTGGAAAATTCTACTACCCCTACGACGACAAATAGGAGAAAACAAAGAAAATTATAAAACTCAAATTTCAAAGTGGTGTGATTACAACTGATATGATTATGAACAATACACTGTGTTCGCAACGGCATTCAGTAAATAATACTGTTTAATCACTGTGTGATACATCTAATAAACAAACTCATATGGAATTACTACCACAATACACAAGTCTTTCACATATAATAACATCTCTACTTTGTTCCATTCTCTGCTGGCCTCTTTACCTGGGCCCACGTTTTCCCGCTGTCTCTGATCTCCTGCAATTCACACGATCTCCTCCTTGTCACCCTCGAACAGATGACCCAGTCGTCGTTTCTCTTCGGGACTCCACTCGAGGGTCTGGTGTGCAATGCTATTCGACAGCCTGATTCTCGCCTAGTCAACTTGCTTGCTAGGGTAAAGCCCGGGTTAAGAAGAAGTGTTGGGCGTGGGACTAGCGACCCTACACCACAAAACTAATCAAACTGTCACAGAAAAGTCAAGTCACCAGACGTACATTAAAAATACAAAAAAATTATCATAAACAAACTTATTCTTCCCTCTTATTCTTATTCTCTCTTCTGCTCCTAATTTTTTTTCCTTCACGTTCCCAGTGGAACATAAGGCTTCAAGCTAGTGACTTGAAGTTTCTGTAGGAGTATTTGATTTTAAAGGATGGGGTTGCTAGCCTAATGCTCCCCAACCTTTCCTCTTTACCAGCATTTTTTCTGGCTTAGCGAGGTAAAGGAGTGCGTCAGTAGTCGGGGATCGAACTCTGGACCATGTGCATGGTCGGCGGGCATCCTAACCACTATGCCACCAACGCATTCTGCTCTTAATACAACATATAATCCTACTCCAAAAATATGGTGGAGATATGTGGATGACACTTTCACTCAGGTGTTTAAAACAGAACATTTCTCTCTCTAGCTTCTTGGCACATACAAACTCACTAGTGGAGGGAATAAAATTTACATTTGAATCAGAAAATGAACAAGGAGAATGAGCTATGTCAGATTGTAAGATAAAAAGAATAGAAGGCAAACTACACACTAGTGTTTATAGAAAACCAACGCATTCAAATAGATATTTAGAAATTAATTCCTCTCATCCGTTACGTCTGTAAAGGCAGGCTTAGTTAAGTGTTTAACAAACCGAGCAGTGGCACTAAGTAGCACCAGAAAAGACCTAAATGATGAAATAAAACAGATAGAAGAATAGCTGGTTGCTGTTAAATAACTATCCTATAAAATTCATTAGGAAGATCAGTAAAGATCAAAAGCAAAATAAAAATAACGGTGAGACTAATAATGATAACATAAATAAGAGAGAATAAAAGTCATCTACTGTTATACCGTATAAGGAGGGAACATCTGAGATCCTACGTAGTGGAATTTTTTTATAAAGCAGGAATTAGGATAGCATTCAAACCTACAAACTCACTCAGGTAGGACAAGCTTTGTAGGCTAAAAGACCCCGTGGACCCAATTCCACCTTGTCCACCTTCTAGGCAGCATCTTCCTTTAGATCAGGTTTTTAGTGTGAAATGAACTTATTTGAATTAAACAAAGCAATATAACTTATAAAAATTCCCTTTTAATCGCTGTGAGTTATGTGAACTAACTAGGTCAAACTAGTAGGTCAAGGGTAGTCAAATTGTCGAAACATAAGAATTTAGCTGAGGCAAGAATGGTTGACACCGAGAAGATAAGTTATTTAGAAAAAAGTTCAGCAATTGTACTGTGTTGCATTAACACACAACCACACCATAGGTTGGTGGGAGAGGGTTAAGATTCTCAGATGTAGGTAGAGGGAGAAAATGATTACTGAATCCTGACTGATGCATCGAGTCTACACCTAACCGAACACATGCAACAGAAATGACTAAAGGCAAATACCAGAGATGTGTGTGGAAAATATTATGACCATCAGTCACTCAGTCAAATCAGAGGAGGGTAATAAATAATCATAAAATTCTATTTTAATGCAATTCACATGCATTATAACATTCTAACAAGTTATTTATTTATTTTGACTATAAAAACACTCGTCTTATTTCCCATCTGATTGTATTTCACTGGTAACACTCATATTATTATTATTTCTGAATGTACATTATCTCCCATTGATTTTTATTCAAATGTCTAATCATCAATTTCACTCATGTATACAAATGAAGCAAGAAAGTTGTGTGGGTAACTCGATATGATTATAAGCAACAGTTTGTGCTCGAAACGTGGTCACATCATTTAATATTACTGTATAAAACTGTGTGATACTTTATCAGAATAAAATCTTATCCATAATGGAGTTATGCTCTAGCACAGTGGTTAAATTTTAAACTGATATTCTTCTCTGGAATCTGAGAGCCGAAATGACATAAGGAGCTGGTGAAACCCCGCCTTCGGGAAGCCAGTCAACCGATGTGTCTTCTCGTGATGAAAGCAAGAATATAAGAATCTACGGCTATTATTATTATTATTATTATTACTACTAATATATTATTGAATTCCCCTGTTAGCCACACCACCATCAAACCAAAATATTAAAAACGATGTACAATAGACCGCATATATTGCAAAAGAATACAGGTGTTTTCAAAAGAATAATTTGGCTTTATATATATATATATATAAGCATAGTATAAATTCTACTTTCATGTTGCACTTTAGTAAATGACCTTCTGACCCCGTTAACGCCTATATATATATACATTTTTTATTCCCAAGGGTACGTATATGCGTAGTTATGGATATTAGGAAGAAATCTGGTGGTGAAGAAACCAGGCTGATAGTGAAACCACACCTCAAGGCGTTTAATTTATATGCAAAATTAGAGAAATACAATGAAAATGGGGATAAAATGAGATAAAGTGTCTATATGTACTGAATTAGAGATTTCCTCATAGGTAGGAGGTATGACAACAATCAGCCTGCATAAATGGGAGGAATCTGAAAGAAACAACCTCCTTTAACCACCTACCCACCTACCTGGGAAGCATCGTTTCAACTACAGGCGAACACAACTGACGAGGATATCAAAGGAGTGAGGATCGGGAAAGCAAGCCAAGCTTTCATTACTCTCATCAAGTCTGTGTGGTGGTCAGCAGCCCTACTCAAAATCAAAATGAAAATAAGATCCGGATTTTCGACTCCAATGTGAAGTCAGTCAGAGCTACCTACTATACGGATCAGAGACTTGGCCAGTGCGTGATGAAGAGCATCTCAAACAAACTTCAGACCTTCATCAACAATTGTCTTCGCTCAGTACTATTCAAGATCAGATGGCTGGCCAGAAAAGATCAGGAACAGAGATCTCTTCAATGTCACACTCGGAGCCAAACCCAACTCGTCGTCTCCCATTCTGTCCCAACTCAAGTGATGGTCTCGCCAATGTACGATGTCGTTGGACTGTTTCCTCAATGTATGTCCAATTCATCTCAACTTTCTTCTGCATATTTTTTTTAGGTAATTAGCTCTCGCCTGTTGGTTTGTTGCCATGCAACCAGAGTTTTTTGTTGCTAACTCTTTCTGATCAGCCGGTTATTTGATCCTCAGTATGGAACCAGCTAGCGAATGCAGCTAATGATAAAGGTCTGTCACTATCTGTTAGAAATCCTTTTCGTGACACGCAGGCCAAATTTCCGACCTGTATAGAAGCAGTGACTGACTGACTGACTTCAAATTTGTGTTGAAAGGAATCTTGCTGTTTATGCTGAGGTGGAGTTCAGTGCAAAAGATTTCTAAACTGGTTTCAGACTGATGAAGGCGTAGCTTGCCTTCCTGATTCTGGTTCTGACATCTCCATACTTTTTTATGTGAATGAAGGATGGGACGTCTGTCAAATGTATCCCATTTATGATGATTGGTGCTAGTTGGTGTTGTTGGTTGGTTACCTTAGTCACCTCTGTCTTCTCCATCTTCACATGAAATCCTGTCTTCCTCGGTAACCTCTTCTACCGGTTTGTTGATTCTCGCCCTCAAGTCTTCGAGTTTGTGTGAGACGTTTGTGAGACGTAGATAATCTGCACGCGAAATCAAGATCTTCTAGACTATTCTAATTGACCCACGCACAATCCTGTGCATCATAGTTAGCAATATCATCGTGAGTGATAGTTAACAGACAGTCTTGTCTTACTCCTCTGTTCACTTCATATAGCCAAGCTTCAGTGAGTTTTTCGTTGTTGACCACCTGACTGGCGTACGACACTGTTACACATAACCAGCTGTTCAATGAGGTTGATCAAGATTTGGAGCACTGCACTGCACGCACCACACTTCTCAATCAATGTTGTCTGTCAGAAGCCTTTTCAGAGTCAATGAAATTGAATTAGAAGCTTTTCAAACTACTTATATCATACCCACCCACCCACCCACGCCCTCCAATAAGTAGTATACACCTTAAAAATACTTAATTAACAATTTAACTAACATCAGTATGCAAAATGTTAGAGGTTTCGATAGACATATAGACAGACAGACAAACAAACAGAATAAATTATTTCTTACCTGAACGTGAACGTGTATAACTAATAGGCGCAGAAACTGGTTTCTGTAATTTGCATAATAGACCATCTTGACGAAAATGATAATGATCAATTAACTAGAGAAAGAGACAGACAGAAGCAAAGACAAAAACAAATAGAGACACAATAAAAAGTAAGAACCAAAAAAAATACAGAGATATTCATTTTATGCATTTTACTGGAATCCTTTGTATGAATTATATATAAGACTTCGATGTGGTTGGGTTCTCTGAGCTAGCTGGATGATTAATTTGCGAAGCTTTCATCACCCTACTGGATGACATCTTCAGTGCATACTTCAGTGCTATCAGTAGTCATCTGAGTAAAGATGGAAGGTGTGGCGTGAGCCTAGAAACTCTTTGTTTAGCTGCTGTAACTGCAAAGGTCAAACACCTGAGCCTTGAAGCAATATTACCTCATTAAAAACCTGTGAGTGTTATTGTAGCTACACCGTTAAACAAGGCTACAACTGAATTAATTAATGCAACAGGGCTAGCTGAAACTGTAGTGAACCTCAGTAGATTTTTCACGTAGTCAAATCTCTGAAGGTTGATGATACAATTCAATAATGAAGTAAGGGTAAGGGAAGATGATTCAAACCTGATATAATGCGACCATTTTGGGATGTCTTCTTTGATGAGTCACCGTCCTCACTTTCAAGTTGCTTTACCCTACTGGTCATGACTTTCCGTCAGAACCTCAGGTTAACCGCCTTAATAGGGCCAGTTCCTAGTCAGCATCACATCAATTTTTTCAAGTATTGGTTTTTGTAGGGATTTCGTTTAGTTGGTTGGATCAAGTCCCAGTGGCTTAATGGTTTACGAACCAGAAGGTCCTGGGCTCGAGCCCCGGTGAATTGTTCCGAACTAGGAGGAAACAACTGGCTTTCCAGTAATCCCTGTTGATTTTCCAATCGTTCTCTAACTGATATCTTAAAAATCGTTGAGATGATATTGTTTTATTTAGGGGGTGCTGATGAATTCCCAAATGGAATTCATGGAAATCAAATGTGGAGGCGACTAGTTAGGAAAGCTTGTGGGGAGTCATGCATCCCAGTTAAAACTGATCTTAGAGAATCAATTCAAACCAACACCTGGCATCAATCGATAAAGTCATTAACTTGATATTACTTGGCTGGAGACAATCGGAAGGAAGCCTTACCTGTACCTAGGTTTCATGCTAGTGGGCGTATATGTCACCACATTGAAGGAACTCATATCCCCCTCCAAGATTGGAATCCGTGTCACCCAGTGCTGTATTTACCACTGAGCTATTCGAACTCGCGATGGACCATCTCCCGTAGTACTGTACTGGATACTTTTGACTGATCACTACTTAATAACTATTGTAATGTGTCTGGTGCTTTATTTGGTGCAAAATGAATTCTATCAGAACAAACATGAATTCCTTCAAGGTGGCTGCAGATTTGCTTGCTGACTTGTAAGCATCAACTAGTACGCAACCTAGGTCCAAGCCTTCCTGCTAATTGTATCCAACCATGTAATACCAACAATTCAAGTCGCCAGTTGCATCAGCCAGCGCCAACAGGCTGATCGCTGACGAATTTTCAGCACGGATACAGAAGGCTATTTTCACATATGCCAGTTTAAGCCGTCTCTTGCTCAGTAGACGTGATATGCGGCTGACAATAGATCAAAGAGCGGGTGAACTTCTCAGCAGTCCGCTCGGCCCTCCTTCATGCCTCATTGTCAGTCATGGCCATTGAGAATGGAAGACATGAAAAGTCAGGCTAGTTAAGTTTGACCATAGGTGCCTGCGTTCTATCTCCCGTGTTAGGTGGTGTGGTGTAATAAGGTGAACAATATTGTGGTTAGGCGTCAGTCGAGTGCCAGGTAAGGAGGGGAAATCAATCGACAAAGCTGTGAAATTACATAGAATGAGGTGGTTAGAACATGTGTTACAGATGCATGTGTGCGTCGGTGGCACAGTTGTTAGGACTCTCGCCCCGACCATGCACATGGTCCGGGGTTCGAGCCCACGCCGGCGCACACCTGATATCTATGGTCGGCCTGCAAAATTTGGGCTACCGATGTCCATGCTGAAAATTCCATACTTGTACCAAAAATACAGTGTGGAATCAAGCTGTAAATCAAAATAAAAAATAAATAAAATAAAAATGACTAGGCATCGCCTTCCTCGACGAGCAATGTTAGGTGACATAGGGTCAGACTGGAAAAGAGACAGCTATTATTTATTTTTATTTTATTTTATTTTTTGATTACAGTTTGATTCCACACTGTATTTTTGGTACAAGTATGAAATTTTCAGCATGGATATCGGTAGCCCAAATTTCGCAGGCCGACCATAGATATCAGGTGTGCGTCGGCGTGTGCTCGAACCCCGGGCCATGTGCATGGTCGGCGAGAGTCCTAACCACTGTGCCACCAACGCTAGTGGTGGTCAAACCAAAACATGGCTTCATCAGTCAATGAAATCCGCGATAGTTAGTTTAAGCCAGCCATGTAGGGAGGTGTAGACAATTGGTTGAGGTCCTCAGGATGGTAAGAACCAATGGCTGGAGACAGTTAGTGATTTTGATGTGGTTGTGTTCTCCACGAGTGAAGAAATGTAAAAGCTCACTTCAACAAATTAAAGTATGCGCTGAGGATGTCACCTAGTAGGGCAATGAAAACTTCGCAAATCAACTATCCTGCTTAGAGAACACAACCACATCAAAATCATCCACCTGAGCTATAAATCTTCTCTATCATATATCTACAATTGGTGATATGACTCAAAATCCTCGTTCTCAGTGGTTGGCGTAGATTTATCCACTCCTTGTGACTTAAAATATCCAATGAAACCATATTGTTCTTCGACAGTAACTGAAATTTATGGCGCGGCCACTGGATCACCACCTCACCTTCTAACCAGAAGGTACCGGGTTCGAATCCCCTAGTGGGTTAAAACAGAATAATAACAATAATAATAAAAATAATAGCTTTTTTATTTAGATAAAGTGATAAGAAGACGTAATTTGTTTGAATCGTGTAATGTATTTGCGCAACACATTTCGAACAATCTGAAGGAGTACATATATATGAAATTAATAAAGAGGCAAGAGGTGAGAAAATAGACAAGTTAGGTCAAGTTAAAAGGACGACATATTGAAGGTCAAAATAACAATGACTTAATAGTACATCTGCTATGGTATCAAAAGAAAGTTTACCAAGGAAGGTGGTTTAATGTGATGACAAATCGTTGCTTTGAACGCATAAAGGTGGTTTAAACTTTCTAATTGGCAGCTACGGCTTCCACAAACTTTAGGATACGCCCTCCCTCAAACACGTTTTATAGATAGGTTTACAAGATTTGTTAACGTCAATTTTATGTCCTGTCTCTATAATATGTTTCGCAATAGAAGAGCTAGATCTGCTGTTTTCACCATTAATAGGTTCTGAAGATTCCATTTGTTTCTGGACACATTTAGGAATATGCTGTGAAGCCAGCCTTTACTTGCAGAGATCGATGAGTCCTCCCCGTGTGTATATGTGTCCACACGTACATTCAAACTGGTAAATACAGTGGGATGTGACGTCATTTTTCGCATGTTCGAAGGGCTTAGATGGATGCATATAATGGCTTTACATTCTCTGTTATTATGATAATAGTTGCATAAAAGGTTTTTTTAACAGCAGCGTTCAGTTTTTGTCTAGTTATCGAGTTGCTATGATGCCCCATATGGGTTAGCTTGATGTACACGTCTTTCTTAGGGGGGAAGCTGGAGAATGGGTCTTAGTCTCCCGCTGACTACTGTATATCATCTCCTGATGAACTTGTCTGGATAATTGTTATCAACCAGAGTTTTTTGTGTCAACTTTCTTTCTTCTTGATCAAGTGTGTCTTCAGTGCATACTCGCTGGATTCTACTGAAGAGGCACCTTACTAAGGCTCTTTTGTACTGAAAAAAGCCAGAAACTGTGGTAATTAAGATACTGTCCTGTCCAGGTAGGTTTTCTATAAACAGATCGTTTTATTGACCCATCAAGCCGTCAATAGACTAAGCAATATGTCCAGGAAAGATAAACAATTATCTTCCTCTTCTACAGACAGAGATAAATGTGATATGCTATTCTGAACTCCATTCATTCAATTTAAAATTGAGGTGGAAGAACAAGGCTTATCATCACTGATGACTACGATATCATCTATATACATTCTATAAAGTGGCAGGCACATTTTCGATTAAATCCTCCGATAAATTCTCAATGTATGACATATAAATATCTGCTAAAAATGACCATAATGGACTGCCCATACCAACACCATCAACTACTTGGCAGAAACAATCGCCTTCAAATGAAAGTAACCTAACATTGTTAATTAGTACATAAAAGTAATAAAACATTTAAATAAGGTAGATAAAGGGAACGGGATGAAAAAATTGTTTCCTTGTGGAAATATAATCACACAAAATGTCAACTGTTTTGATCAAAGGCACATTATAAATAATATAACATATTTTAATTCTTAGAGGAACATAGGGCTTCAGCTGCCAGTATCCATTTCATTCCGTTTTCTGCCAACGTTTTCAGCACGCTCCAAGTCTGCCCACATGCTTTCATCTCCTCTTCACATCACCTCCTCCCAGTCATCCCACCCTCACAATGACCACCAACTCGCCGCCCCTTCCCTTTCAGCTTCCACTCGAGCAATGGCTTGTCTAGTGATGTCACTCGAAGGTTTGACTTCTCAGGGTATGGCCAGCCAATCCATCTCCATTTCTTCCTACCTGCTTGTTTCACAGTCAGTTCCTGTTGTGTTGGTTCGCTCATCGCCAGAGATCCCTCAGTGTTGCTGATCTTTACTGGCTGGACATCTGGTCTTGAGTGGTATTGAACGAAGACAGCTAGCTGTTAATGAAGGTCTGTAGTTTGTTTGAGATGCTCTTTATGACGCGCTGGCCAAGTCTCTGATCCGTATAGTAGGTAGCTCTGACTGACTTCACATTGGAGTTGAAAATCCGGATCTTATTTTTGATTCTGAGTAGGGCTGCTGACCACCACACAGACTTGATGAGAGTAATGAAAGCCTGTCTCACTTTTCCGATTCTGGC